GCCGCCTGCCACCAAACTTGGTGAACAGAACTCGCTTCGCAAGAAGGTTATAGGCCATTCGTTGGCAATGGGCTAATAATCTTGAAATCTGTGTTTGCATCCAGAAGACCACTTCAGTTGGATATTGCAATCTCTCCCATAAAAGCATTCGACACCAGATCGTTGCACTTCCTTCTTAAGACTGACAATGAAATCTTAATATCCGTCGCTTACCGTGACCTCTTTGTTTTTGGCTTTATTAAGTGTTGCCGTCTGCAAGCCGCAGAGAACAATCTTCAAAGTACAAGCACGGCATATCAGCAGCTTCGTGCCATTACCAACACTGTAATCATTCCAGAGCCTGAATTACTTGTGGTTAATGCCAATGAAAAGCGCCCTTTGACTACGCTTGCCAATCATCCGTTTACAACCAAAGTAATCCCAAGATACCAATATTCTATTCTGGTCCCTTCTCCATAATACCGTCAAGGATTAGACAGTTTCTGGTCTGGGTGCGAAGAAATTCTATCCATTTCATCTTCGTTAGGTTAATCGAGAGACTCAGATCAGAATATCTATGTTTCAGAGTTAGGAACAATGATACCGCAACTTCAAAACTACTGAAAAGCGAAACGATATCATTTGGAAAAGCAAGAGAGTTTATGCAGATATGTCTCATTATTGCCGCCAGTTTAACTGTTTCTTACTGACGGGAGTACCCAATCAAGAAACATCGCAAACAGCAGTGGAGAATCTACCCCTCCTTGCCTTACTCCAAAGAGTTATGAAAGAATTTACTGAATCTACTGTCAATTCACGCTGCACTCGACGAAAGACCAAACATCGTTTTAAGAACGCGGATAATCCTTGGCGGCATTCCATATTGTACTGTTCGCCAACTTTCGACAAAGCATCGTTTCCGATTGACTCAAAGATCTTGGTAAAACTAATTACCATCGAAAAGAATTTGGATTAATGGTTTCTCATCGAGAATATCTGGTCAAAAAATCATGTGTCTGCGTGATTTCAAACTGATCTTAATAAAATTTGTTGTTCAATGTTCTCATGATGTTCTAAAGATGCTGCCCAATCCTGTTCACCATAACCTGCATGAACGATTTAGTATGAATAGATAGTAGGCTGATTACACGGCAGTCATTTGGATCTGAGCAAAATCTTTCTTAAATACTAGAACCACAATGTCTTCCTTCCGATAATTCTGGGTCTCCTCTTTCTGCAATACCAGTTATGCTCAAGTTACATAAGCATACCGTACACATCATCATTTGGCTGTTAGCATTTAAACTTCAAGATCGCCTTACGAAGTATACAGCGACTACAATATGAATTTGTACAACTGCTAAGCATGACATATTTCCTTTACAACATGCAGTCAGTTGTTCCTTTAGACGACGATGCAGTATTTCTGGTAGTCCTAGCAGGTTATTTTTCTTTCACAATCCACCCAACTCTTAAATAAGATGGAGTACGTGAGGGTCCGTTACGGAGAGTATTAAATAATACCTGCCATGTATTTTGTAAATTACCTTTAAGCCTGTTTGCAAATGTGAATTCAGAAACTGTGAACTGAGGAGATTAATATTCCAATAACACAGGATATCCAAGAAAAACTTGATGTACAGCTGCTGCCTCTTCAGACTCAGAAGCCACAGCTGTGAAGGTCTGGAAATATGTTGCAGATGCTTCCAGAAAGGAAGGCGAAATAGATTCTAGTAGCTCAACCAATCGGCAGGCAACCTCAGGAGAGGCAAGAATGACCTGCCGCAAGTAGGTCGATGGACTCTGCTCCTGATTAGAGTTATCTTCTGTCGAAGCACAGAAGCTGGTAAAGTATCGGCAACGTTGAAGATACTTTTGGACGCTATTATCCTAGCAGCCTGGATTACTGAAGTGAGAGGATGATAGGACAAGGCAACTGATATGTTACCAAGCCTTGTTCTGTCATAAATCGGAAGAATGTCCAATGAGATCTGCGTAATAAAAAATGATTTAGGACAAGTATTCTTCAAGAAAACTTGCATATAGCATGCTTCTTTCTTCAGCATCCTTGTATTTTTGCCGGAGTGTGGACCTCTCCTCATGCCATTAAAAACTCGAAGGAAACAAAGCGACTGATAGACGGCTTTCAGTTGTGATAGAATGCTGCTCCTTACAAGCAGAAATATATAGCGGAAAAGATAAAACTGATAACAGCTAGCGAAGCCTACTTATATTCGGTATGGAAGAATGTCCAAATTCAAACATTCCCATCGTATTAAAATAATCTTCATCTTCACACTTAAAACTAAGGAGAGTGTTAATTTCTTAAAAGTATAAATCATGACCATATTG